TCAGCTTCAACTTGAACTTGCATACGAGCAGTTGATGGTCTATCCTACAGTCAGCTCCTGGCCTTGTTTTGGCTGAAGATACTGAACTTCTCCATCACCTCTTACCACAGATATAATTGATCTGATTCCTGTGTAGTTCATCTGGTGCAGTCCTCATGTATATATGCCATTTATGTTGTTGAAAAAAGGTATCTGCAATGAATAAGTTGTTGGTCTTGCAAAATTCTATCACGTGATCTCCAGCATCATTTCTATCACCATGACCATATTTTCCAACTACTGGTGATTCTTCTTTGTTTCCAACTTTCTTTTTTTTTTTAAATTGTGATTTGGGTGAAACTTTACAGAGCAAATTCACTTTCTGGACAGCAGCTCACACACACTTTGTCTCATGACATTGACTACAATTTCCCACAATGCAACAGCTTCCCTCCCATTTCCTCTCCATAGTTACCTCTTCCCTGTGTCCTTCACTTCCTACACTCTTCCCCCTGAGCTGTCTCCCTGTGCATACACAGCCCTTCTACTCTCCCATGATTGTTCTTTACAAGGAGTGTATCTACCTAATGCAAATGTTCAGCTCATATGCCCGTCTACTGTTTGGCTGGAAGCCACAGGAATGAGTTCACTTATAGACCTGAGGAGTGGCTAGGGACCATAGTCTCAGTGGTTCCACCAGGCTTTATCAGACCAGCAAACCTGGTCCCCAACCCCCACTTTTTTTTTTTTTAAATGATTTTGAGTTTTGTTCCACGTTGTTCTCCCACTCTATCCAGGATCTCCTACATAGATCCCCCTCCAAGTGGTTGACAGTGGTAGCTGGGCACCATCTAGTTCTGCTGGTCTCATAGTCATACAGGCTGAGGATCGCAAGGTGTACCAGTTGCTTAGACTAATTGTTTCCATGAATCTTTGGTTTTCTTCATTCTTCTTTGCTCTGGACGAGGAGAGACCCATCGTTGCATCTAGATAGCTGCTTGCCAGTTGCTACATGCCAAAGCAGGATGTTGTACAATATTTTGTGTAGTATGTTATGTCAATTGAGCTTGATGTCCCCTGACTATGGTCCCAAGACCACAGGTCCAACTACTTGCTCTCTCTGGGTAGCTGGCTGTGGCCAAGAAGTGACTACAACCTTGTCCGTTGTCAACTACTATATACCTGTAATTCTTACAGAACATAGCAATACACTTGTAGAAACATTGTCTGCCAAGCCTATGCATGGTCTTCAGCATACTCCCCCCTGCATAGACATATCTAATAGTTCAGCCTGTCCACCCATCTACCCACCCATATATTCTATATATCCATGTTTGCCTTCACTGACAATGCAGTACAAAAGGGTTCACCTTTGTTGTCTGTACCTCCCATGCACCTCTCTATGTCTTCCTCTTCCTCAATGCCATCGTGTTGGTACATTGTCCTTCTCTTCACCCAAATCAATACCTGTCTGTACCTAACAGTGTTCCTTCCCCCCCTCCCCCCCGATTCTGGTAACCAACAAAGATTTCCTTCCATATATAAAACTTTTCTTGACTTTTCACAATAATGGACTAGCTCAGCCTGCCTTCCTCTTCACTGCTTCCCCTTTTATTCATCAGCCACCAGTGCAGTCCTCCATGCAGCCCTTGACTAGCAAGGCCAATTTTTAGGTTAATTCTTAGGTCCCAGCACTACTTGGAAATATTCAAGCTGTCTGTGCTGTCAGGATCACTGACAGACCACAGCTCTGTATATCTCCTTTTTTGGTGTTTTCATGCAGGTTCTTTTACTAGTTGGAGTTTAGTCCACTTCTATATCCTTCTCTTCAAAGCTCAGGGCTCCAGGATTATCTTCTGTATCTGTGTTAACTGGTTCCCCTTTTCTTTGTTAAAGAGGGTCTGTGAAGTCTGTCTGCCTATTCTGCTATCTTACCAGAATTCTGTTTCCAACTTTTGCATTCCAATCACCAGTAATAATCAAACATATTGATTGCATGTTTGGTCAATTTCAGACTGTGGACATTGGTAAAAGTCTTTAATTTCCTTGTCCTTAGCTTTGGTGGTTGGTGCATAAATTTGCAAAATAGTAGTATTAACTGGTCTCCCATGTAGGCATATGGATATTATCTTATCACTGACTGCATTGTACTTCAGGATGGATCTTGAAACATTCTTTGTGACGATAAATGCCATGCCATTCCTCTTCAATTTGTCACTCCCAACAAAGCAGACCATTTGGTTGTCTGATTAAAAATGGCCAAAACCAGTCCATTTCAGCTAACTAATGCCTATATATCGATCTTTATGCATTCCATTTCATTTTTGACAACTTTCAATTTTCCTAGATTCATACTTCATGTATTCCATGTTCCGATTATTAATGGATGTCTGTGGCTATTTTTCTCATTTTGAGTTGTGCCACATCAGCGACTAGAGGTCCAGAAAGCTTTACTCCATCCATGTCATTAAGGTCGGCTCTACTCAGGAGGCAGCTCTTCCCCAGTCCCACTTTCAGTGCCTTCTGACCTGAGGGGCTCATCTTATGGCATTACAGTGGACAGTGTTTCAGGGCTATTCATAATGTTTTCTAGTAATATATCAGACAGTGTTTCATGCTGTTCATAAGGTTTTCACTGGCCAATTCTTTGAGAAGGCTTCCTTCTTCTGAGTCTGTCTCAGTCTGGAAGCTCTGCTGAAACCTGTCCATCATGGGTGACCCTGCTAGTATTTGAAATAACAGTGGCATAGCTTCCAGCCTCACAGCAACACACAAGCCACAACACTGTATCAAACTGACAGACGAATGGCATGTGGCTAGTGCTCACTAAATGCAAATTCCCTTTCCCTGGTCAGAAAGTCCACAAAAGTTCAGACATTTACTATCCCAGTGCTAGGGTGCCACTGACTAGCTGAAGGACAAGCTGGCCAGGTGTAATAAAACAGTGTGATAACTGCTTTCACAGAGACCTGGGTCAGAGGACTGGAAACACAGAAGCAGGGCCCTGAACTCTGTCCCGGAAGGCAGGAAAAGCACCACAGGGAGATGGTGTGTGGGCGAAGGTTGAGCGGAACTTTCTGGGGAGACAAGCAGGGGAAGGAGTTGTAGGCACAAAGCACACAGAGCACAGAGCAGGACCATAGCACAGGGAATTCTCTTCCAGGCAGTGCATACTGTGCATCAAGAAACTGCAAGGGCAGGCAAGGGACATGGTGTGGAAGGAGGGCCCCCAACAGCCAAGCACAGGCACCTGGGCTTTATCTTGAAGGCTTTGAAAGCCCCCAGGACTCCAACATGCCATGATTGCATCTGAGAACAAGATGGAAATGCGGGTGAGTGAAGGCAGGAAGGAAGAAGAGGAGGCAACTGCAATGGTGCCGGAGAGAGGCAATAGTTACCTGACAGAGGTGAGAGGTCAGAAGCCATATAAATATGAGAGCCACCAGGCAGGTGGCAATGACCACTTAATGACTAAGTGAATGGAATACACAGGAATCACATTTTTGGCCCACGGAACTAGAGAGGTGGGTAGTGTAGTTGTAATGGGGACAGTAAACCAAGAGAACAGAAACCATTCTAACTACACAACAGAGAGCAATTTACTCAGGAAGCTAGTTACACCAGAGATAGAATTCTACCTGAGGTCAAACAGCTGACAGGGAGGCAGCCTAGGGATTAGCAATGGCAAGAGTCACTGTCACTCCTAGGCTGGAGAGATAAAGAGAGGAAGGAGGGCACTGCTGGCATGGAGGACCACCAGCTGGGAGCTAGAGGTACAGAGATGAAGCCAGTGCCAGAAGCAGTGGCTATGACAGAATGAGGACATCTCCATCTCCACCCTCCAGTCTCCTACAGTGGCTCTCCATTGCCATAGCTGGGAAACACAGCCTGCAAGTCATCTCTATGATACTACATGGCACAGTATGGACCTGTGGGCAAGCAGGCCGAGCACTGGCACAAACTTAGAGAAGAGGCTATGAAACAGCAGGCACAGACCCAGGCACAGCTATATGAAAGAGGCAGACAGGCTCATGGGCAGAATGTGGCTGAAGATGAGACATGTGAGAAGGGGCAGCCAGACAGGAAGTAGAAAAAAGGAGATCCACCTCGGCAGCAGCCCCAGTGCACCACCCCAGTGCAGCCTAGGGAAGAGGTGCTCTGGGCCACAAGGGCCAGGGTTTTGGTCCAAGGCTTTCCCAAACATGGAGACAAAACTCTGGGCTCTGCTAGCCCACATCATCCCACACTTTCCCCGGCTTCAGATTACAGGTGTGGTGGACATGGAATGCATGCTCAGACCTCCTGCCCAATGGTCCCAGCAGCTGCCCCTCTAGGTCTAACACTACATTCGCTCACAAAGGCCATGCTTCCTGCAGGCTACTCTCAGACTCAGAGGAGGGTGCACAAAGCAGGGGCACTAATGTGGAGCCATGGCTATGAGGTTCAGGCACCTTCAAGGAAGGTGACTTTTAATGACTCCACTGGCTTGGCCAAAACTTTCTTAGAACTTCAGAGGCCTGAGTCTCTTTCTGCCCAATCCTTCCTTCCCCTAGTCTGGAGGTTCCCATCCTTCTTCAGCTCCTTCCCCTTTCATTCTTCACAAAACTCTTTCTCCTTTAGTCTCATTTTGGCATCTGCTTTGAAAGAACCTGAGCTAATACACCAGGCTCCCCAAGCACACATGTGGCTTCCCACTTAATTCGCCAGGTGGGTCTGTGCCCAGGGGGAAGAGACTGCTGAGGAGTGAATATACTAAATACCAGGTTCTCATTATGATTTAACAATTAACTGACTGGTTTTCAATGAGCTGAGTGAGCCTGACCCCAGTATTCACTCCTAAACAGCTCTGGTCACAGTCCACACACAGCTTCAGGGGCATGCTCGGTCTTGTTGCACTTTCTCCAGGGCTTAGTTGCTGCAATTATAAACATGAAACTTCCCCCCACAAAGGCTTAGTTCAACTCACATTCCAGTTATAACTCTGTAAGGTGGTGACTGAAGCACAATATTTTTAGAAGTACCTGGGATCCTAAAAGAGTCTTTGTGTAATAGTCTCGAGGCATGAAAACTTCCACTATGGTAACTAGACACCAGAAAGCATCTTCTTGTTCCAGGTACAGGAGGGCCACTGCCACCAATCTACGAGCAAATGGAGAACAAGATGAGTGCCAGCACCTTGTGCCCAGACACAGACGCTGCTGCCCAGTCTTCACAGAGACATCTGCATAGTGCCATTTTCTCTCTCCACCCAAAGCTGTTTTTAGTACTCTAGTAAAGAACAGTTAGTAGTCCTTGGCAAGTGAGGTATGTTGTAAAGCCTGAGAAGCAAAGCCACACTTCCCCCTTCCACATTGTTAAAAGATGATCAGAGTCTTTCCCAATGATCAACAAACCTCATTTTTTTTAAAAAAAAAAGTCTGTTTTCATTATAAATTTTTCACTAATGCAGCTAATTCTGTGAGTTACTGTTCAAGAAGCTCCAATTAATCCTTTTATGGACAAGTAATCCGGAAGTGAATGTGAATGTTAAGTGGCAAAGATCACAAGAAGGGGTACAAACAACTGTCCTGGTATCATCGAGCTTCCATGCTGGAGGAATGAAAGGGGGTTTCAGATAAAAAAACTCTACAGAGGGGCCTTAGCAGAAATGAGTCCACAGCATGTGCACAGGGTTGGAAAGGAGAGAATCTGCATTAGCTGATGTTGGTTCATACTGTACCTTTGGGTCCACCAGCTATTTCCATGCTAGGGAACTCTGGAGCGTAGTGCCTAAGGCACTTGACTGCTAACCAGAAGGATGGCAGTTCAAACTCACCAGCCACTCCTCGGAAGGAAGGTTGGGCAATCTACTTCCGTAGTGGTATTGCCTTGGAAACCCAAGGAGGGGTCGCTGTGAGTCAGGTCCGACTCGACAGCATATAACAACACAACATTTACATGCTGTCACTGATCAAGACGTTACTTGTCCAGTAATCTTAGGTATCCTAGGTATGGCTCTGAGTGGGCAGCATCCAGGATAGAAAGACGGAAAGAAAGAGGCGTGAGAAAAGCTTCTCTACACAACTGAAATCCAAGAACCACTGTCAAAAGCAAGAAGCTTAGGTGCAGCACTCACAGGAAAATTACTGAAGCTCCTTTTCAGGACTTTTTTTCTCCTTCCCTATATAAAATGACAAGAAATTAATCTCTAATTGAGAGGGGGAAATGCCTGAAGTAGGCAGAAAGAGGCTGTCTCAAGTAGGCATAAAAGAAACAGAGAGCAGAAAGGTAAGAATCGTGACAAGTGGCAGGGATGGAGGAGAGAAAAACAGGAAACGAGCACGGAAACCACATCCCACAGCCACTGCAGATACCAGGAAAGGGGTGAAGAGCCCCGAGCCAGCAGAGCCTTTGAGGAAACTGACATTCAGGTGATAGGCCTCAATCGCCTAGAAAAGGCTCAAGTTCTAGGTACTCAGAAGGCACAGACGTGCCCAAAATATTTTAAGGAAAATCTCTAATCAAGTGGTTCATATTTAAGACTTTAGGGATGCAGGTGCAGAGAGAAAGCTTCTCTGGAAAATTTAAGTCTGTAATGACTGATCCCATGACAATACCAGATAAACAAGCACTGCGGCACCAGGAGGGAAATGCACCAGAATGGAAGGGCACACAGTTTTTCCCAGTGTTCCACACAGCCACGTTCAAGTCCTCAACAGGATCACTTAGGCTTGAGAAGGTTTAAGCTTCCAGGAACTCTGAGATAGAATGGACAATGTGAATTGTGGATTTAAGCAAAGCAAGGCTGCTTTTTGCTATGAAGTAAGTACCCTATGTATAGGTCTCTTCTGAAGGGGGAATGCACAGGAACAGCTGATGCCCCTTTGTACCTTCCAAGGGGCAGAGAGAGAGGCTGCCTTCTCTTCCCTACTACAGGGCCAATGACTTCCTGGAAACCAGCCAGTGTTAGGTCTTAACCAAGTAATATTCTCATTTCAAAGCCCTTCCTCCTTCAATACTCTAACTATAGATGCAAACAGGTATCGCTTACCTGGAGGCTGGTATCTGGCACAATCAGGATTAAAAAGACTATGAGCAGCCAGAATTCACGCCAGCATTCAACACCTCAAGCTCATGCATTTCACTCACAGGAGAATTCCTGACGTACACACACAGGGCTTATTCATTCTTATTTTATCCATATTCTAACAAGTTTAGTTACCTAATTTCACTACTCAGAGTGGAACAGAAATGGGCAATTACGACAGGAGAAACAGCAAGAAGTGCATCACCCAGGTAAGAATCACACAGGTTGTAAAAAGCAGGCACAAGCACTCAAGAAGCCCATTCCTAGGGAGTTGTTGCACGGAGAGCAGACCTCAGTACCTCCTGAGGCTCGTCCTGTCCCAGCACAGCTCGGGATGATGAGCCTGCATCTTTAAGAAAAGATGAGAGGCTTTTCATTGTCCTCGGTCTTACAGGGTCTATAAAGGACCTTTGAAAAGTTAGCATCAAAAAGAAAACAAGCTTGGGCTCTTCCAGGGTTAAGCTTCAACTAGCTAAAGAATTGTTGGGGGCACAAAGACCTAAGGAGTGGCCACCAGTTTTCACTTCATGTATTATAAACTAATGAAATCGAACTTCTGATCAAAACTTGAGTGTGATGACAACAGCAAGGAAGAAAAAAAATGAGGAACCAAGCTGCTTCAAAGGAATTTGACTTTGGTGTTCTTAATTCTCTCTAAAGGCATGCTTGCTTCTCATAACTACTCTAGAATTGAGGATATTGCATAATTAAAACTAGTTTGCTACAACTAGTTCTTTCCCTTAAATTATTAGCTTTTCTTGGCCTACCAGGAGGGGAGGGAGCTTTAGGCAGTGCCTGGCACCTACAAGTTCTCCTGATGGCACCCTAATGGCAAAAGGGAGCATTCTGTTGGCTGGGCACCCACCTGTTTAGACCCTGGCAGTAGCCAATATCAGGGTTCCGCCAGGAGAAGGCAAGCAGGACGTTGCGTAACTTCTGTATGCCTTCTGAGGTGGGGCAGGAGTAATGTTTGTTGTTGGGCAGTGTCCGCAGCAGGTCCAGCTCGATCTGCTTGGAGGCTGGGTTCTGTTTCTCTAGTGCCTTCTGAAGCAATGTTTGGAAGTAGCCAGGCTCAGTGCTGTCCTTGAACTTCCTTGTGTGAAGGTTCACACACCACTTCCACACCTTGGAACGGTGCTCGTGTGGAATCCCTGCACGGATCAGGTTTTTCAGCTCCGGAGAACACATCATCTCCCTGTTCACTGTACTTGCAAAATAGTTTTCCCACTTGACCCCAGTGGAAACTTCCTGGTTTTCTGTGAGGTAGAGAGTCTTTAGGTCCAATGCTCGGACTTTGGCTACCAACTTCTCTTCCTCATCGTCCTCAGGTACAGTCCTAAATCCATAGATATCATATTCACTGTTGATTAAAAAAAAAAAAAATGAAAAGTTAAAATGATGCAATCTTGACAAAAAGACCAATGAAACTGAATAGAGAACCTAGGACTCAATCCATGTAAACATGTTATGGCAGACATTTTAAACCAGCAAGGGAAAATGCATGTCTTGATAAATAGGGCTGAGACAACAGGCTTTCCACATAATAAATAAAATATAATTGAATCCCATGTTGATATCATAAAGAAAAATCAGTTCCATATGGTTTAAAGTCCTAACTATGAAAAGACCAGAAGAAAATACAGTTAAGAATACAAAACAAGACCCGAAACAAAAATGGTAAATTTGGCTACATTAATATATGCGTGTGTATTATTTATGTCGTAAGTATATGCATGTGTAACTTTTATGCTTCAAAAGATATCATTTAAAAAGATAAGTGACAACCTCAAAAACAACCAAAAAATATCTACAGGTATATATGTATATATGTAGGCATACGTGTATAGATATGTATGTATATATGTATGTAAATATAGATATATGAATGCATATATATATGCATCTATGTGAATGTATGCAAATATATTCATACACACACACACACACACACACACACATTGTTGTTGTTGTTATGTGCCATCGAGTCGGACCCCACTCATAGTGACCTCTCCTTGGCAGTATCACTACGGAAGTAGATTGCCCCATCTTCCTTCCGAGGAGTGGCTGGTGGGTTTGAACCGCCAGCCTTCTGGTTAGCAGTCAAGTGCCTTAGACACTATGGTACCAGAGCTCCCCATACACACACACACACACACAAACACACACACACACACATATAATAAAGTACCGGGGACAGAGTTATGGATACGTCCTAGATACAACCAAACACTTTACAATACTAGATTTCTGGGTTTGAAGGATTAGAACCATAGTATCGAGGGACATCTTGTTCAACTGGCATGATACATACTTTAAAATGTGTTCTACATACTAGTTTGGTGATTAGTGTTTGGGGTCTTAAAAGTTTCTAAGCAGCCACTAAGACACAACTATTGGCCTCTATTCATCTGGAGCAAAAGAGAAAGAAGGAAACCAAAGACTTAAAGAAGAAACTTGTCTACAGGACAAATAGTCAACACAAACCACAGCCTCATCTACCCTGAGACCAGAACTAGATGGTACCTACCTACCACTGCCAACTATTCTAATCAGGGCCACAACAGATGGATTGAGATAGAATGGGAGAAAAATGTGGTAGAGAGCCTCAAGTTCCTTAAAAAAAAAAAAAAACCAGACCTACTAGACTGGTTGAGACTGTAGGACTGCCTAAGACTACTGCTCTGACATACTCTTCAAACCTTGAACTGAAACTAACTCAGGTCATCTTGTAGCTAAACAACTAACTGGCTCAAAAACTAATGAATATCACCCGTAAGTAGTGTGCTCCTTTAGAAAATGACCTATATGAGACCAAGTGGTCAACAATACATTAAAACAAAGACAAGAATGTAAGGAGGCAGAGAAACTAGATTAATGGAAACATAACCTGAACAGAAATAATGAGAATGTTCCCACTGAGCACTGTGAACAACGTAACCATACCACTGAACAAGCTGTATAGAAACTGTTGAATGGGGACCTAAACTTCTGTGTATATCTTCACCAAAAACAGTAATATATTATTAAAACAAAACAATGGAGAAAATACCTATAAAATATTAGGGATGAAGAAGAATTAAAGCCGAGGGAGGCAGAATAATGGCCCCCAGAGACACCCATGGCCTAACGTCTGGAACCTATGAATATGTCACAGCATGGCAAAATAACTTTGCAAACAGAATTAAGGTTACAGATTTTAAAATAGGGAGATTATCTTGGATTATCTGGGTGGGCCCACTGTAATCAGCCCTTGAAAGTGGAAGAAGGAAGCAACAGAGATGCAGTGGAAGACAGGTGTCAGAGATATGACAACAGGAGAGGAGGCAGGAGAGATGTGAACTCTGAGCAGGACTTGACTGGTCCTTTCTGGCTTTGAAGATAGAGGAACGGGGCCCCGAGCAAGGGATGCCAAGGATTCTAGTAGCAGGGAAAGGCCTTTAGCTACAGCCAGCAAAGAAACGGGAACCTTAGTCTTACAACTATAAGGAAATGAATTCTGCAGTGAACTAAATGAGCAAGGGAACGAGCTCTCCCTGAAAGCCTCAAGAAAGGAATGCAGTCCTGCTGACCCCTTGATTTTAGCCTGTGTCGGATTTCTGAATCAGGCTTCTGACCTACAGAACTAATACATTTAGTTGCTTTTAAAACACCAACTTTGTGGTTATGGCAGTGACAGAAAACTGATACAAAGGCCCTTCACACACTGCTGCTGAGTATGTGAACTGGCATCTGCACTATGACAGCTGAGGATTTGCATTCCCTCAGGGGCAGGAATCCCACTTTTAATCTACAACAAAGAGAAACTCTCTCACAGGGGCATGTGAAGACACATACTATGATGTTCACTTCATCCCTGTTTGTAACAGGAACAAATGGAAACTTTCTAAATGTCCCCACAAGGGAAAGGAGTAAAAACCTTGTGGTATATTCATATAATGAGGTATTATATAACAGGTAAAAAAATATGCTCAGGTGCAATAGATTATCAACATGAATGACTTCTGAAAACAATGTTGAAAGAAACATATAAGCTGCAAAAGATACGTACAGGGTGGGGTTAGTATGTAAAAAAGTATCATCAGTTAGAAATACACACTGAAATATTTCTAGGCAAAATTACATGATGCCTGGTATTTGTTTTAAAAACAGTCTAGGAAAAAAAATTGGGGGGAAAGGAGTGAGACAAAAAAGATTGGCAAATGTGGAAAAAACCTCAATCATTAAAAAAAGAGACCAGGTTTGCTGGTCCAATAGAGCCTGGTGGAACCCCTGAGACTATGGCCCCTAGCTGCCCTTCAGGTCTGGAACTGAACCCACACCTGTGGCTTCCAGCCAAACAAAAGACAGGCATATGAGTTTAACATTTACCTGAGGTAGACACACTCCTTGGAGAAGTCAATCATGGGAGAATTGATGGGCTGCGTATGCACAGGGAGACAGCCTGGGGGGGTGGGGCAGGAGTGCATGGGAGGGAAGGACACAGGGAAGAGGTAACCAAGGCCGGGAAGTGGGAGGAGAGCTGTTGCATTGTGATAGGTTACAGTCAATGTCATGAGACAAAGTGTATGTGAGCTGCTGTATGGAAGATGAATTTGCTCTGTAAACTTTCACCCAAATCACAATAAAATTAAAAAAAAATATATATATATATATATATAAGATTGGCAAAACATTGACAATTGTTACAGCTGGGTGAGAGGCACACAGTGGGGTATGTTACACAGTAAAACCTACGAAAGCCAGAACCTGGGAAAGGCAGAAACCTGTCAGAGAAGGAAAACTCAAATATTTTCCACCAAGATGAGCAGCAGAAAAGTAGTAAGATTGTACCTCGTGAAAGGTGGAAAACTTGTGAGACCCAAAAAACAAGGTAGTCCCACTGAGTTCTGGTTCTCACAGGTTTCACTGTGTAATGCCATCTATTACTTTGTATGCTTGAAATTTTCCATAAGAAAAATCATTCTACTTATATATAAAGTTTGAAAACACACAAAACATACAGTAAGAGTACAAAATGCACACAGGAAGAATAGATGTGATGGGGTAGTGAATACCTCTGCTGGAATGCCCTCAGAGGAGTTAATAATAATTACAAATAAAGAAGTGGTGCTCTGCTTGGATACAAAACCACTGAGCCCAGGAATCTAGCTGCTGGGGCTGGGGTCCTGACTCTGCTACCCACAGGCTGAGTGACCCTGGGCAAATGGCATCACTTCCCTAAGCCCAGCTTCCTCATTTGTAAAATGAGAATAAAAACATCCACCTCACAGAGCATTAAATATGATCCCACATGTAAAACACCTTGGTGCAGTTCCTGGCACACAGCAGATCTCAGTAAGAGTGAGTTTTTGTCATGATGGTGTTGGTCACATTGTGACAGCATATTTTTAATATGCTGTAGCCTAGGAAATGCAGGCGGGAGCTCAGAGCTCAGAGGCGTAAAAAGTCATGTGCAGCTGAAGCAAGGCTTTGCCTGGGCCTGGAGAGGTGGGGTAGGAGTATTGGGCCAAATGCAGCAAGCAAGGCTCAGATCTGGGGCTACAGGATCTGAGTGGCAAAGGGACACAAACCAAGGAGGAGGTTGGATTAAGTGAATCTGTAGATTTCTCCTACCTTAACTATTTCATGAGTTTCTCTCTCTCTTTTATTTTTCCCCAGAAAACAGAACCGTCTGAAGAAGAACATGGCATTGGGATTGGACGAAGACTCATTAACCACCTGCGATATGCAGATGACACAACCTTGATGAAAATCAAGAAGACTTGAACCAGTTACTGATGAAGATCAAAGACTACAGCCTTCAATATGGATTACACCTCAACATAAAGCAAAAATTGTCACAACTGGACCAATAGGCAATGTAAATAGAGATAAATGGAGAAAAGAATGAAGTTGTCAAGGATTTCATTTCACTTGAATCCACAATCAATGCCCTGGGAAACAACAGTCAAGAAATCAAAGGACCTATTCCATTGGGCAAATCTGCTGCAAAAGACCTCTTTAAAGTGCTAAGGATTAAAGATGTCACTTCGAAGACTAAGTCACGCCTGACCCAAGCCATGATATTTTCAACTGCCTCAAATGCATGTGAAAGCTGGACAATGAATAATAAGTAAGACCACAGAATAACCAATACATTTGAATTGTAGGGTTGGCGAAGAATATAGAACATACCATGGACTGCCAGAAGGATGAACAAATCTGTCTTGGAAGTACAGCCTGAATGCTCCTTAGAAGCAATGGCTAGACTTCGTCTTTCATATGGTCAGAAGGGACCAGTCTATGGCGGATACCATGGTTGGTAAAGCAGAAGGTCAGTGAAAAAGGTGAAGAGCCTCAAAAGACGGACTGACACAGAGGCTGCAATGGTGGGCTCAAGTACTGTGATGACTGTGAGGCTGGTGCAGAACCGGGCAGTGTTTCACTCTGCCGTACACAGGGTTGCTATGAGTTGGAAGCAACTAGATGGTACCTAACAACCACCACTACCACCCAAAATCAAGGAGCCCTGGTGGCACAGTGGTTAAGCACTTGGCTACTAACCAAAAAGTTGGCAGTTTGAACCTACCAACAGCTCTGTGGAAAAAAGATGTGACAATCTGCTACTATAAAGATTATAGCCTTGGAAAGCTTATGGGGCAATTCTATTCTGTCCTATAGGGTGACTATGAATCAGAATTCCCTTGAGAGCAACAGGAGACCCCACGATCCTTATGGGTTTCCATATTCTGTGAATTCCCCCAAAATACATGTAATATTGTGTGTGTGTGTTCCCAAGTACATTTTTTGGGCGAAAGTGTCCATGGCTTTTATTACTCGTTGTTGTTGTTATGCGCCATCAAGTCGGAGCCGACTCATAGCGACCCCTCCTTGGGTTTCCGAGGCAGTATCGCTACGGCAGTAGATTGCCCCATCTTCCTTCCGAGAAGTAGATGGTGGATTTGAACTGCCAGCTTTCTGGTTAGCAGTCAAGAGCCTTAGCCACTATACTACCAGAGCTCCTTTTTATTACTCAGTGGATTCTTAATCAGTGAGTCAGGTTACCCACGTGCTTTTTACTTATGAAGAAAGCCCAGTTTTCTCCATAGGGGCTTCTTTTGCTTTCAAATCTCCATGTGTCTCAGGAAAGGGTTTCTACTTCTTAGAGGCCTGGTTCCTCCTGCTGCAGGAGAAAGGTTACCTTGCATGGCACATGGGAAAAGGGCTTGGAATCAAAAGATCTGTACTGAGTTCCAGCTCTATCACTTGTTTATCAAGATAATATCTGTTCTACTGACAGCACAGGGGTTGTGAGCATTAGATAAGACACACAGAATTGTGTAAAGATCTCTACAAATGGCTAGTATGGTTGAAAAGGAAAATTTCAAAAATGGGATTACTGGGTGGTCACACTACCCGTGGCAGTCACTAGCACCTTTACCTGACAAGATGAGGTTTAATGAATGCTTGCTCTGGCTGCTCTGGGCTTTCAACTTGCAGAGCATCCTCCAGCAACTGGGCTATGACATCCCGAGCAGGCCCCTGTTCTTCTGAGCAAACTGGCGTCTTCATTTCTTGAAGCAATATCAAGTATTTACTTTCTATTTGGCAGAGCTTGGCTTCTAGGCTAGAATACTGGAGAGAATGTGGTACAGAGAATCAGACAGACACACAGGAAAAGCAATCCTTAGGGACCTTAAGCAACCAATGATTGACAAGCCCAAAACGATTAGGGAGTGACAGACCTATTATATCAAAGACAAGAGATTTATTTATGTGGCAGCCACCTGTCACACTTAAAATGGCTTGCCCGGCATAGAAGGGTGCTGACAATCTGACCTCTGCGGGCCCATACCCACATCAGCTCTAGGAAGGCAGATGAGCAGCAGAAACCAGGTTACTCAGGTCAAGCTGGGTGCCACTTGGGACATGGGCCATCAGTTGACACCCCATGCTAAATGAATACTTTCCTAGGCTCCTGTGACCCAGGACAAGCACCCACATCCCACTTTTCCTTCAAATTTATCCCTAGAAAACATGGAGGGACAAAGTTTTGGAAGATGCTTTCAGGGCTATTCAAAAAGGTATATAACAGCTAAAGTGATTATCATGGCAATGTTTATAGTGCCTTTACACTCTGCAAAGCTCTTTCCATCCATCATAGCTGATTCTCATGCCAATTCTATCAGGGTTGCAGAGGAGGCATTATCCTCACCAGACCCATTCTCTAGATAAAAAACTGATTCACACTCAGTAATATAAATCAAAACTCAAATAACCTAAATTTATGAGACCTTAGAATTGTACTTGCTTTTTTTCTCTTTAAGCCCCACTAAAAATGCTTATGTGTAAATGGAAGTCACATCTCAAGGCACTTCTCTTTGTCTTCATTATAGGCAAAATGAGCCAAAGCACACAGCATTACATACTATATATGCATTTAAAATATGTTTTGAAACCATGTCCCTCTATGCATGGGATTTTAACTGGTTTTAAAGCACATCCATTTTAGAAAGGTTTCCCAATAATACCTTCCTCCAGATAACAGGATATATCCATCCCAACCCACCTTTGCCATCAGATCCCTCTCTCTCCTTTCTGCATTTCTTCGTAGAGCTGAGAGTTCTAAAATTTCTTTATTTAGAAATTTATTTTGAGTTTTGTATCCTTGCAGATTATCCTGTTTGGGAGAAAAAAAAAATCCATCAATTCACACTGGTTAAATGTTGACTGACTATCATATACAATTAACATTTGGCTACCTCACCAATTAAATAACCCTGCTAAGTCAGAGCGAGTTCTAAGGAACTGAAAGCTCTTTTGGGCACTTTCTTACTAACAGTAAGAAACCCATAGGGTAGAAAGCAGGCAGGCACTAATGCTGTAATGAAGGAAATGGGGAAATCTTCTTTATTTAATGTGGTGATTTTTCTCAACCAATCATGGGAGAAACTCCTCTTTACAGTACTTTGCAAATTTTTATCTACCTACATTCATAGAAGTGGTACAATAAATAAATAAATAATCTTACAGTCATTTCTTTTTAAAAAACTAAAGAAACTGAAGACGTTTGTGTAGCTTCTTGTTTTCACCTATACATTTTAAGAAGAAAAGGCTACACATATAACAAAAGCCCTTAACTAAACAATTATACTTAATAATTAACATATACAGAGTATAAAGTGTTTAAAACCCACTGTCATTGAGCCGATTCTGACTCACAGTGACCCTACAGGACAGAGTAGAACTGCCCACAGGGTTTCCAAGGCTGTAAATCTTCAGGGAAGCAGACTGCCTCATGGAGTCTCCCAGGGAGTAGCTTGTGGATTCAAGCCACTGACATTTTGGTTAGCAGCCAAAGGCTTTTTAACCACTGCACCACCAGAGTTCCTTGTATAAGGTGTTAAAGGAACATTTTTCACCAACTCTTTTACACTTAAAGATTATAAAGCAATGGAAGATTTGAAAGAAAAGTATGTTGTTGTTGTTGTTATGTGCCATTGAGTCGGCCCCGACTCATAGCGACCCCTCCTTGGGTTTCTGAGGCAGTATCACTACGGAAGTAGGATTGCCCAACCTTCCTTCCGAGGAGTGGCTGGTGGGTTTGAACCGCCAGCCGTCTGGTTAGCAGGCAAATGTCTTAGCCACTATAGTGAACACAATATACTCTTTCAATGAAATTCACCAACTGTTTATCTTTGCTACATTTGCTTTATCTCCTAAGGGAACATAACAAGCTGGTGACTGGCTCTGCCAAGCCCAAGTTAAAGTGCAGGTCTGAAAAGGCAGATATCTTATGTTAGCTTTAGCTCTTGGAATTCTGAGTAAAAAAAGTAAAAGGAGCCAACAGAAAAATAAAGAGTTTTCATGTAATATGCTGTAAAAATAAAGCTAAAGGAACTTTAGGCCAAGCCAGTAATAATAATAATCAATTAAAGAAGTATCCAAATAAAGATACTATTGAGAACCACCTCTGAGGCAATTAGGATAGTGCTTTCTAAAGGCTCTCTACCAGCTTCAGTCTTTATCAAGTGTGGTATTCCCTCTTTCTATGTCTCTTTTCTAAGTGGACAGGCTGGTGCTTGGGGTTCCTGAGATTCTGACCCCTTATCACAGAAGAAATTCTACTTCATGACAGCCCCCAGGGATGGTCAGGAAAGGCACCAACTGTGCTATCACAGCAAGGAAATCATTGCCACTCATCCAGAGATGTGTCCAGAGATGTGCCCCCCTGTAACTGTTAATGTTTATGGAGCACTTGCTATGGGCTACAGGGGCCCTGTGCTAGGCACTTCAGGTTTTTATCTCATTTATACCTCATACCGCTTGGGTAGCTATTATTGTTATCTCTAGTTCTTAGGTAAAGAAATTGAGAGGTTGCCCAATCATACGACCACTAAGTGTGTGGGCTGGGAACTGGGCCTCTAAGAGCCAAGCCTGGGGGGCGTGGTCCTATGGGCTCAGACCCCAACTCCCACCTGAGCTCTGCCAGACATCACAACAACTCAGACTCAGCAAGTTTACATATCACTATCAGCATTCAAGACATCTAATGTCAAACAAAAGAAGGTCTACAGCCCTTGCTTTATGACCAAATCATGATGTTCTCCTTTCTCTTGGTGCTTGAAAGCTCTCATACTGGGAAACAGTGAACAAAAAAGGCAGGTCAACTAAAGGAAGGTGAGCTAGAGGGCAATTAATGAATACCCTGAAGAAATGTGATGGACAGTGACTGGGTGATACAAGGTGGGTCAAAACCAAAACCAAACTCACTGCCATTGAGTCGATTCTGACTCATAGAGACCCCCACTGGGTTTCTGAAGCAGTTAAGTCTTTTTTTTTTTTTTAATTATTATTTTTTTTTATTGTGATTTGAGTGAAAATTTACAGAGCAAATTCACTTTCCATACAGCAGTTCACATACACTTTGTCTCATGACATTGACTACAATTTACCCTAATGAAACAGTTCCCCTTCCACTTCCTCCCGTTACCTCTTCCCTGTGTCCATCCCTCCATGCACTCCCGCCCCCTGAGCTGTCTCCCTGTGCATAAACAGCCCTTCTTTCTCCCACGATTGTTCTCTCCAAGGAGATTATCTACCTCTATAAATATTCAACTCATATGCCTGTCTTTTGTTTGGCTGGAAATGAGACAGTAAACCTTTAAGGAAGTAGACTGCCCCATCTTCTGTCTGTGGAGCAGCTGGTGGGCTTCTGGTTAGCGTCAAATGCCTTAGGCACTGCACCACCAGAGCTACAAGGTAGGTCAGTGAAAGCAATTAATCATATTCTGACACATCTGTTTTTATCTTAAAATTTTTGTTACAGTGTAAATAATTACTGATGGTTTATCTTTTCCCTAGCATGAAGTGATGAAGATGATCACAGCAATAATATCTGACGATCAAGAGCCTATGAGATAGCAAGCACTATGTGAGAACGTCACTATGAAGGAATCCCTGTTTCATAGATGAACACAACGAGACACAGAGAAGTGAAATAACGTGCCCAAAGTCAGAGCTCTCAGGTGGTGGTAACACTGGGTTTGAACCCAGCTCTGGCTCTAGAGTCCAAACTCAGTCTAAACCACCACCCAGTACAGTTCTGGGCTCCCTTCCTTCCCACTACTTACTATAACTATAATTCTGCTTTTGTTTTTGTGCTTTCTAAACTGTCAGCTACAAGAAGACTGGATCTTCTTTGCTCAGACCTGGGTCCTTCACGCAGAGCACAAGGCCTAGCATATGGTGGTCATCCACCAGATAGTTACTGAATGAATGGATGAAACTGCCCAAAAAAGGAAATGTATGCACAAAGATATGCACTACACAGCAAAACAGGAAAGAAGACTAAGATTGAGTAAATAATGACACAGAAAGATGGCAATTCTGAAATCAATAATGACAGCAACATACAAATACAACACAAAACACTGTTTAGGTTATAATATAAGGAATGCTCACTGAAATATTACAAGTCTATCTATGTGAAAAATGGAACAATTATGTAGACACAGAAAAGGCCTGGAAAGGAACACAGAAAACATAAAGTACTTAAACATCTAGGATGGTAAAATCCTGGGACCAGTAGCTGTCTTGCTTTAAAAAACTACAGAAATAAAAACTGACTACGTCTTAGACTACAAAGGAAGAGTTAGCAAATTCCAAAAGATAGAAATCTTTTCAGGCCACAGTCACTGACTATAAAGAAAGAAATCCAGATAGTAACAGCAGCAATAAGACAGACAAAAATAAACATATATCCATTCCCACAAGCATTTAAAAATGTAGGTCAAAAGAAAATAAAATACACATCAAAATGTCCATTTCTGTCCAAACTTTCCCTCTTACTTCTTCAAGCCTTTTCAATTCTTCCAATGCCACTGCAGGGGAGGCATGGATTAGGGTAAGTGTTTTCTGCATCGCAGAGAAGATGGACCTGGCAGTGGCAGTAACAGGTCGCAGGCAGAGCAATGTCAGAAAACACAAGGTCACTGACCCATGGAGGACTCACTTATACCTCCTGGAATTCAAAAGCCACAAGCAAGTCACCAACCAACCATTCTGCCTCTTCCTAAGCTGTGTCATCACTTAACATGTTTGTTGCAAAATTTTGAGGCACAGTCTTTAAAATTTAACATGAGAAATGTTGCAGAAAAAAATTTCATGACTGATTCAAAACTGCCCCACCCATCATGTTGCAAAAATAAAGGGGAAATTCTAACCCTAATCAATCCTGTTAGCTATCCTCAAGAGTTCGGTGGAGTTGCAGCAACAAGGTGACACTCTCCACACACACCCCAACTCTGTTCCCAGTGGAAACTTACCATATGCCTGCCACCCTGCCAAGCAGCACTCACATGCTTTCAAAATATGAACTTCAGCTGGCACTAAATAAGTAGTCACAAAATGTGTATCACTCATAGGCTGTCTATTTAGTATCCTATATATTCTAGGTTATATATATAAACAAAACCGACTACTGGCAACTCTAACTTAAATCTCATTTTTTTTTTTTTTTTTTTTTAACACTGGCTATTTTTATAGTAAGGAGCTCTGGTGGCGTAGTGCCTAAGGCATCTGACTGCTAACTAGGAGGCTGGCAGTTCAAACCCACCAGCCACTATGCAGAAGGAAGGACAATCTGCTTTGCTTCTGTAAAGATTTACTGCCTCGGAAACCCAAAAGGGGTCACTATGAGTTGGAATGGACTCGATGGCAGTGAATGATTTTTATAGTAGATATAAATACAAATGAATGGGTTTTCTTCTTTTTTTAAATTGCTATTTTAGACTGTCTCATTAATAAATCCTTCTGACCTCATGTATCTAATATTGTCATCACTTAGAAGTGGCCACTATGGGAGACCAACTCAAGCCAAACCAAACTCACTGCCCTCCAGTCGACTGCAACTCACAGTGACCCCTGCTTGGGTTTCTGAGGCGGTATCCCTATGGAAGTAGATAGCCCAACATTCCTTCTGAGGAATGGCTGGTGGGTTTGAACCCCCATGCTTCTGGTTAGCAGTCAATGCCTTAGGCCCTACGCCACGGGAGACCAGACACATATTAAACAATGTTGCCATTACTCCATTATTCCTGTGTTTTTAAAGTTACATTCTGGAATGTCTTCAGGACCCCTCTTCATTCAACTCACTGACAATGCCTGAAAGGTACCACTAGGCATGAAGTCCATGTCAGTAATACTCTCAAAAGTAGTTAAATCTTTGTCCTTCAAGGATAAACTGAATTGAAAGCAGGTAAACACCTCTGGAGTCAAATTATTTGCAAGAGGCAGCCAGGCAAGGAAGATGTTGGGGTTAGGTGGGGCCTGTCGCCACAGACCTGTCTGGGTCACATAATTCTCTTGGCTATGCCTAATGGCCCATGTCCTAGAGGTATTTCTCCACCTGGAACCTCTCCCACAGAGTCTCAAAATTGATGATAGCCTCCCTTATGGCCCTATCCATGGCCTCATTGGCCTTCTGCTGTCCCTCTGGACTGGCAGGCTTCTCCACAGACACAAACAGTCAGACTGCCTGCTTCCCACAAATACTGTGTACTCCTCCTAACTCATCAGGTCACCACCCCAGGTATGAGCTGGAGTCACCTCTACCCTCAGTGCCAGCCCAGAAACAAGACACTGGAAGGAGAACGCTGCCTCTCTTCTTTTTAAGCAGACTTTCTCACCTTGGGTGAAGGACACTGACTCTGAGCAGTTCCACCTGCCAGGATGCTTGGAAGCTGGAGTCCATATCCCCAGCTGATTCTACTAGTCACTGGGGACAATGTTTCCTCTCCTGGTCCCCATTAGATCCTGAGGCAGACTGTACAGAAAAAGTCTGAGTATGAATTTAGGTACTCAGAGGGGAAAAGGAACAGCCTCCACACGTTACAGGAGGTAACAGAGTTTAAGTTCTGCAGGCATAAATAGAAAGAGAAGGTTGAGCTGCCTGAAAGCAAGGGAGGAAAAAAGATTAGAAAATGTGCCAAGCAATGGCAACATCATTGAACTAAGAGTTTAATTTTCCATAGAAGCTCTTCAGAAGACTAATAATGATTTGACTCCAAATCCTGTTAAACCTGTCAAAAAAAAAAAAAAAAGAACACAGCTACTCTGCTGCCACATGCCTAATTAGCTCACTGAGGCCAATATATCTAGGGTGACATCAATGGAGCTAATGGGCTTTTGGTTTGCATGGGTCCCAATAATTAGCACCAACCCTTGCTCTTACTTTCAGCCTGTCCAACTCCAGCTGGTCCCGGCTGGCTAGGGAGGCGGAGGGAGAGCCGGGCACTGTGGTGGGGGAAGATGCACTGCTCTCGCACTCGCTGAGCTGCCGCGAGAGCTTAATGATGACCTCATCCTTGGCCTTGATTGTCTCCATCAGCATTCCCAGCTGCTCGTTGAGCTCACCCACTTTGTTCTTGAGGGTCCTCACTTCCTGCTGAAGACTCTCTTTTTCCAGGTTGAACTTCTCAAGCTGGCTGGTAAGGCCCAAGATCTGATCATCCTTTTGGTGTAGAAGCTCCAGTGTGTCCTTTGGGACCCCCTCACAGAGTCGGCTGCTCGTGAAATATTTGTCATACTGGGAAGATCGGACTGTCTGCTGGAGCAGCCGTACAAGCTCCTGGGAGCAAAAAGGAGCATGGAATGAAAGGTGAGGAGAGACAGGGAGAGGAAGCAAAGCAGAAATCATGACAACTATACCCAGAGCAATCACCGGCATTTGAGAAATGCAGAAACTTTACTGGAAACATTTTAATACTGAACTTCCTCTAGAAGGATCTCAAAAATAGAGGAAAAAATTTACTCCATAAAGACTGTCTGTAGAGAACAATAATAGGAAACAGGAAATCATGAACATGCACACTGAAATCTGCAATGGTTCCTGGTAAACGTTCATCAGTTTTAAAAAATCTGAGCTATAATTTACTAAACTACTGAGCAATTAAGTGTAATTAGGTCTGATTAGCTCAGAAGGAAATTGTGTTGTTTAACACGACATGGAAATTCTTTTTGGTGACAGTTAAAAACCTCCAGGCTGGAGGTATTTTGGGAGCACCACTCGGGGGCAAGGCTAGGCGTGGAGGCAGGCAACATCCTCCTCTGACCTCCTGTAATGGGTGGGTCATGGGTCGTCTCTCCTTATAAAGTCAAGTGTCTCTGAACAAATGATTAAGCAGAGCAGTAGTGCCAACAACGGTGGGCATGGCAATATGACACTTAAGGAAAAATCACCATCCAGGAAATAAAACTGGCCCCCAAAAGATTCAGAGAAACAAAAGCTAGGTTTTCCTCCTTGGTCTGATAAATGTGAGATAAGAGAGAAGTTCAAAGAAGAAAATTACCTTCTGACTGGATAGGTCTTTCTTTAACCGTTCCAGCTCTTCCTGCTGGTTCTGAACCTGCAGCTGCATTTCAGAGGCTGGCTTGCTGATGCTGCCACCGCCTGACAGCCCCTCAGGTGACGGGTCACCACTACTGTGACGATTTTTGTACGACCCAATCATGTCTCTCAAAGGGCGCTTTCCTTTGTAGGGAATACGTCCAAAATCAAAGGGGAATCCTGAGCCAGTTACTCCTACATAAAAACAAAACTCGATTTTTAAGCACAGGCCAAATCTTTCTTTGGGCAATGACCATAGAGCCTATTACCATCCACACACAGCAGCCTCCAGGGAGCTTTGCAATCCTCACCAAGAGAACACGGGAGGCAGAGATGCCTCTGCCCCGCCTCAGGCTTGATCATAACACACCCACAATCAAAGATGCTCCCTCCCCCTCCACACACACACTGGATCTTTCCTTTTAAGAACCTATCATGTGGTTACTCTGAAAGAAAACTTTCTCATTTGGATTACTCAATCTTTGCTTTACCGCAGATGAAAAAAGGCAAGCTGTTAACAGGCACTGATGAAAATTTGACATTGGATCATATACCTCTCAAGATTAATTTTTAATACTAGGTTTATTTTCCAAAATCCTTTTTCCAGAACTCAGTGTTGTACCTATGTTCTAACATCACCATTTTCCCATCTCAAGCACTTTCTGGACCAAAGAGAATAGAGACATGGGTCAGGAAAGACATGGGTCATGGTTGTTCCAGACTTCCCTGGAGCTGAAATGAGGATGTCCCTTCCCCGGGTCCCCACCTACGAAGTTCAATGACATGTTCCAAGTGTAGGACTAAGGGTCTTTGACTTCCTACGTTTGCTAATTTGTCATTAGTAAATAACAAAAATAAAAATTGATCTTTTAAAGAATGACTATATCCTCTTCCTGGTGGTGACAATTGCATATGATGAACCTGATCTTTGTTTCTGAAATAAACACGTACAAATTGTTGGACTGGAAAAAAAAATTTAAAAGATTGTTAAGGCCATTTCAGAAGAAAGAATGACTATATCTTCTTTCTAAAAATGGGCATTTGAAAATACTGTGGAATCCAAATAAATTTTAGTGTAAATATATTCAAATATATACTCAAAATGCAATGAAGGAACACAAAGGAGACACACTGTATGGATTCCACTTGCACAAAGTTAGTAAATGGGCAAAAGCCAATCAATGTTATCAGAAGTTGGGACAGTGGTTATCCCTGGGGTGGGGGAGTGACTGGAAGGGGACTTGTAGGAGGGCTGACTCCTGAGGAGCCTGGATTGTCTTGTGTTTTAAATGCTGATTACAAAGGTGTGCTCACTTTGTGAAAACTCAAACTATACTTTTCTGATTTGGGTACTTTTCTATATTCTGTATTTCAATAAAGTGTTTACATAAAAATAGGGGAAAATATAGGGAAGGGCAGTTTACTTCCTGTAAATTACATGGACAAGCTAGTGGGAGTCTGAGTCTTGGAGCCTTTATAGGAAACTCCCATGAATCAAGCCAGATCAAAGTCCAGAGACATCTTTGTTCTGTCCATGTCTTTCACACAAGTTCCTTCTCAAAGGGGATCCGAGCTGGGCTGAGAAGGCTGCCAACAGTCAATAAAACACTTTCCAGTGATGCTGGGAGCTCCTTGTCCCCTCCCGAGTCACTAAGCCCTACTCATTCTTCCTTTACAATCACTATCACATTCACCCCTTCCATTTAATTCCTGGATTCTCTCCTGCAAGTCAGATCCAACACTGCTTATCATCAGTAACCCAAATCCTTCTTCCTCCAGGAAACATTTTCAGTTTACAATGCACCCCTCTCCTGGGTGCTCCCATTGGCTAAGCCTGATGCTGGGTAATGAAGCATATTCAGCCTGACATTGTAAAATGTCATGCCTCACTGGACTACTGGGTCCTACACTATGCTTCTGTGGGACAGATATTCTCCCCCTCAAATCAAGTCATGAAGTCCTTTCCCAGGGGACAAAAAAATAGTATGCACTCTCTCTCCCAATAAGACTTCCTCAACTCCTGCCTCCTACTCCTTCCAGTCAAAGACAGAATCAAGCATAATGCAGAATCTCAGATTTATTTATTGTTATTTTACATTTAGAATATCAATATTTATTTGGTGAATTAATGGATCTAGGATAATCAATGGCTGCTAAAAGAATTAGTCAAAAGGCTGATAGAGAACTTTGTCAATCTTACTATCACAAAAAGAGAGAAAACCAGACATTTCGTGGCTGCGGGTATGATGCAATATAAAGTACACGATACCTTCCAAAAAAGTATTCTCGCCATAATCAAAAGCCACAGATTGTGGGCAGATCTGTGGACCTAATTACTAGAATACAGGTAATACAGGTGGCAGAGGAGCATATTAAAGGACACTACAAAAACAACAATTAGCAAAACCCAGAATGTGGGAAATTCCTCAGCACAAAAAGACCCTGTTTCTTTAACAAATATGACAGGGGTTTTAAAAAAAAAAGAGAGAGACAGGGAGCTGTTTAGACTAACATATCTAAGAAGACATGTCAAATAAATATATGGTATGAACCTTATTTGGATCCTCATTAAACAGATCAACCGTAAAAAGACATTTACGGAACTGAGGAACTGGATGATATTAAGGAGTTACTGTACCTGTTTTTAGGTGTTCTAATGAAGCTATGGTGATAATTTTTTTAAAAAGTCATTATCACTCTTTTTTTTTTTTTTTTTTTTTCAGTTTTACAGTGTTCCCTCTCCTTCCCTCCCATCCCTGGTAACCAACCAAGAAAGTTTCCTTCCATATATAACCTTTCCTTGACTTTATTTTATAATAATGGACTAATACAATATTTGTCCTCCTGTGACTGACTTATTTCACTCAGCATAATGTCTTCCAAGTTCAGCCATGTTATGCGGTGTCTTGCAGATTCTACATTATTCAAAAAGTCATTATCTCTTAGAGATACATACTAAAGTATTTATAGATACAAGAGATAGACGTCTAGAATTTACTTTAAAATAAGCCCTAGTAGGATGCAGGGAGGGACCTGAAGTTTAGAGGAGATACAGAGGAAACAAGGAAGGCATATGTCCAACACTGTGGAAGCTAATGATGGGTGCACCAGAATTCATTATACTATATCCTCTACTTCTGTGTACATTTCAAAATTTTTATAATAAAACATTTTTCTAATCAATACTTCCACAAAGGCACCATGACTTCTGGGTGCTCTATTTCCAGAAAACATTTAAGAACCACTCAAGGGACAATTACTTATTTTTTTGTAACATCTGATTTTTCAAATGTTTTTATTTTGTCTCCCACAAAGAAAATCCAAATTCCCACTGGGCCTTCTAGTTTTAGAAATACCTGCTCCTAGAGTGCTCCCCAGGAGCTCTGGTAGCATAGTGCCTAAGGCACTTGACTGCTAACCAGAGGGCTGGCGGTTCAAACCCACCAGCCACTCCTCAGAAGGAAGGTTGGGCATTCCTACTTCCATAGTGATACTGCCTCGGAAACCCAAGGAGGGGTCGCTATGAGTTGGGGCCGACTCGAAGGCAAACAACAACAACAACAACAGAGTGTTCCCCATGTCACTGGTAGTTAACAGATAGCAGTTGAGAGCATGACAGACAACAGGAACCATGTTTATACCTTTGTTTCCTTCAGGGGTCTGCTTCTTCTTTTCTTCCTGTACCATGGACTCCTCCAGGTCCTTAGGGCTTGGGTCTAAAAGTTCCCATTCTTCACTGGTATAAAACCTGCTCTTCCGACTATCATTATGTCCTCGCCCAGGACGAAAAGAAGACATTGAATTTCTATTGAGAAAAAAAGAAATGTATTATTCAAAAGAAAAAAAAAATGTAAAACAAAATCTAACTTCGTGTATATAGGACTGGTTATAATGAAAAGATCTGGTAATATCAAATGTTGTTGAGGATATGGAGAAAATGGGAAAGGGAACATAAATTGGTACCATTACCATGGACAGTAAGTTAGCAACATACAATTAAGTGGAAGAGGTGCCCACCCTAAGACACAGCACTTCCTAAAAAAATTCTTGCACATGTGCACTAGAAGACATGAACAAGAGTGTTCACTGCAGCACTGTTTATATAAGCAAAAAAAAAAAAAGTACAACCTAAAGATCCATCAACAGAGAGTGAATAAACTACAGTATATTCATATAGTAATATATTACATAGCACTTAAAATGAATTCATTCATAAAATATTTATTGAGCACCTACTATATGCCAGGTATTATTCTGGGAAGAAGAATGGGCAATCTACTTCTATAGAGATACCACCTTAGAAACACAAGGAGGGGTCGCTATGAGTCAGATCTGACTCGATGGCAGTGAATTGGGATATACCAGTAAACAAAACACAGAAAATTCTTGTCCTTGTGAAATGTACATTCTAGCTAAGGCTACATGTATTATGGGTACATGTATCCATAATACAAGGAGTCCTGGTGGTACAGTGGTTAAGCAAAGGTTCAACTGCATCCTACTGCTCCAGATGGCTAACTGAAAGGTCAGTGGTTTGAACCCATCAGTGGCTCTGTGAGACAAAGATACAGCAGTCAGCTTCTGTAAAGATGTACAGCTTTGGAAATTCTATGGGGCAGCTCTACTCTGTCCTATAGGATTGCTATGAGTTGGAATCAACTTGATGGCAATGAGTCTGGTTTTTCAATTTTTTTTTTATCCATAATATAGGTAAATTTTCTAAAAGCTGAATGAGAAAAAATTTGAAGTATGACATATATAGCATGATATATACACATATATATTTTAAGGTACAAAGATATTTATTGCAGCATTGTTCATAATAGGAGAAACCGGAGGAAAATGTACAAGAACAGGGAATGATTTAGAGCTCTGGTTCATTACTACTGTAGAATACTATACAACAACAGGGGTGTATAACCATACAAAGCTTAGACTGATAGTGTGGGCCAAAGAAGGCTTGAGAGTTTGCTTCTCTGGGTTGTCTTGTGTTCCAAGTGAGTTGAATGCTGAATTCAGCTAGCAGGCTCAGGAAGGTCAAGGGCCTGAACAGCAGATATTATTGGGGGGAGACCACTGGGCAGAGGAACTCTGGTTCTGCAGGTACCAGGAGCCAGGGAATAGTCAGAGTAGCCAGGGCCACTTCTGAAGGCATGGCCTGGGCTGAAAGAAGACCCTGAGTTCACCAGCTAGAGACCTCAGCAACCAGGCAGACATAAGATCTACCTGCATCTGACTCTTAAGGGCAATCCCATACCTGCCTGGTAGCTCACATTAAGTCCCACCTACTGCTACCTCTCATCCCTCACCTTTACCACACACAGCTGGAGGTGGGGGGTGGGGAGGCAGAGGCAGAAGATACCTAAAGGATGGGACATTTTTATATAAGACAGACTGAACATCACTTAAAGTGGCTATTTAAATGATCAGATCAGACCAAGCTTCAAAACATTATGTAATTTTTTCCCTGCTTTTTTTTTTTTTTTTTTTTTTACTAAGGGCTGGTGTTTGGAAGGAAAGTCAGTTGCAAACACACTAATTACAGCTTCCTCGTGTCTTGGAGTGACTGCAGGGTGAACTAAATTTTCTGACACTTCTGTCTACTCAGTCCCCTCTGCCTGGCACGCTCTCCCTCCTCTCTCCTAATCTTTTCATTCTCAGTCCTGGTATCCCTCCTCCTTGAACCCCTAGACTGACTTCCACAGCCCTGAGCATCTCTTTATCAGTACTTAGCACACTGTGTTGTCATGCCTGCCTCTGCCATCAGATTGCACACTGTAGAGGGCAGAGCCAAACATGATATTGTTTTAAACCTTCAAGAGAAACTTCAAGGTTAAGTAACAGATATTATTCATAGATACATACATATGTAGTAAAATTATTTTTTTTAAAAAAGATCTGCACATGAATGATAACAACCAAATACAGAATATACCATGGTTATACTTGGGAGCTCTGGCAGCATAGTGGCTAAGACACTTGCCTGCTAACCAGACGGCTGGCGGTTCAAACCCACCAGCCACTCCTCGGAAGGAAGGTTGGGCAATCCTACTTCCGTAGTGATACTGCCTCGGAAACCCAAGGAGGGGTCGCTATGAGTCAGGGCCGACTCGACGGCACATAACGACAACAACATACTTGAGAAAGGCAAGAGAAGAATGGGATCATAGAGAAGAGAGGATTTTAACTGTATTTATCGTGTTTTGTCTTTTAAACAGCAGCAGAAATACAATAAAATAATAAGAGCTGGATAGTGGTTACCTAGGTGATCAATACACTATATAACACTCTTCTGTATGCTAAGTTCCCTGAGAAGTTTTAAAAGCTACATTGGGATTTCCATTTCCAATGAAGATGGACAATAGAGATTGGATTTAGTTTTGTCCCTAAAACAACTAAAAAACTAAACTAAATATAGAAAATGATGGTTTTTAAGACACTGGACATAAGGCAGCACAAGACAGTGACCCCTGAAAGAGGGAAAATAAGTAGGGTGAGTCCTACACTTGCCCCAGCTTACTGCCTGAATAGAGCTTCCAGGCTACAGGGCAAGCAGGGAAAACCTAGATGGAGCCCAGCAACTCCAGGAGTTGAGAAGACAGAGCTGGGACCCCAAAGCAGTCAGGGTTTGCAGGACAGAGTACATGAGAGAAGAGAGCTACAGAGAGGGGGCTGCAAGGATCCTCGGAAGCCCTCCCAAGTCTTCAGCTAAGTGCTGACCAGGGCTTGCATGAAGAAAGCTATCCCAGAATGGGAAAAGACCACCTGAAAGAGCAGAAGGAGCAATCCCAAAAGCTCAAACAAGAGCAGAAAACTCTATCCAGGCCTTGTGAATTATGAGGGTTTCTACTGAAACAATCCTTAGATTAAAGACTGCTCTCATTCCAAGCTTCAAAAGGATTGAACTATTCTAAGCAGTTTAAATGCATTCCAGAACAAAGCTCAAGAATATTTATAGGAATACAAAAAAGCCAGTGCCCAAAAAGACAAAACTCACATCTGGCATCTAAAAAAAGTTAACAACCATGCAAAGAAATAGAAAAACACAACCCATTATAAAAATATTCAATCAACAGAAACAGATCCAGAAATGGCAAATGATAGAATTAGTAAACAAGAACTTTAAAAGTTATTATAACTATATTCTCCATATCTAACAAGCTAGAAGACAGAGTGAGACATGGGAGATGTGGGGGGGAAAAAAAAAAGACCCAAATCAAACTTCTAGCAATGAAATTACAATGTTTAAAATGAAAAATACACTGGATAGGATTAACAGTAGTATAGGCATTACAGAAGAAAATATCAATGAACTTAGTAACATCAAAACAGAGCCTACCCAAAATGAAACACATAAAAGACAGGGGGAGGGAGGGAAGGATGAATGACAGATGGATGAACAGCCATGGGACAACTGCAAATGGTCTAATATACATAGAATTGGAGTCCCTGAAGGACAGGAGAAGGGGAGGGGACAGAAAAAAGATATGTGAAGAAATAGCAACTAGAAAATTTCCAAATTTGATGAAAATTATAAACCTACAGATCCAAAAAGCTCAACAACCTTCATGCCCAAAAATCATGAAGGAAACTACATCAAGGCATATCATAAACAAACTGCCTAATATTAATAATTAAAAAAAAATTATTTTTAAAAAAGAACCTAATTTGCAAAAGAAAGGGATAGTCATGCATTCACTGGTTATTTGAACAATACAAATTAATTATTGTGGTACACACACAAGTTGTTCATTAATAATACCATGTTCATACTATCAGAGCCAGCACACACAAGATACTCCCAGAGCATTGGTGCACAGCAAGTAGATTGCTAACAATACATAAACATTTTGCAGTGAGGAATCGATGTTTATTCTTATGTTACTGGTCTGTTTAGCTCTGCCCCCTTCGCTGCTGCTCCAGCAGCCTCGGACAGTCCTGGACTGGTGTCTTTCCAAGCAGACTGCTCAGATAGCAAACCCTCCCCCCACCACTTCCTCTAGGCCTCTCACTCTCAGCCAGGGTTTCTGCTGCTGCCCAGGCCACTCATGGCCTCAGCTGGCTCTGGTGTTGCTGCAACTCCAAGTGTTACAGTTCTTGGCCTACTTTTCTCAGACTGCTCTGCTGCCACTTTCCTCAGCTGAGGCCAGCTTCTGCTTCTCCTGGCCTCTGCTGCTTCTTTCTACCAGCTCTACTTCTACCAGGTCCAGGGTTTCTACCAGTTCCTTCTGATAAATCTTACAATCTCTTTTCCCCCATCCTGGGACAAGGATTTAGGGAGGGACGGTGTTCTTCACATAAAGCTTCTGTGTCCCTAGAGGACATGCTCATCCCTCGTCTGAGAGCCTATGAATGTTCACACTCTAGCCTGGGAGCTTCCTGTTAGCATTAGGTCCCCAGGTAATTCTTCCTATGGGGCAGCCCTCACTCACTGGCCTCAGAAGCAGGACGGAAGACCCAATCATTCACTGCAAAAGGAGTTCCATGTTCTGCAACTGCCAAATGGGGGTGTTATATGTTCATTATAGAGAGTCATCTCAAATTAATTCAACTTTTCAACTAAAAATTGTTTGAGCAGTTAGTGATGAAGTGTTACCTTACTCTCCCTCACATAAATTACCTTACTTACTCTCAAATCACTGGCATTTGACTTGAATAGTATTCCCATTTTACAGACAAAGAACAGATGCAGAGAAGACCTACTTGGTCTAAACCACACAGCTGACCAGCAACATAATTATTCTGAACCCATGCTTTCCAACTCCAAAGCCTTAGTTATTGTACCACGCTGTCTGATGTCTGATG